GAATCTTCTTGGATAAACCTCCAAGTGGCCTCAGCGATTCTCAGAGAGAGCGCTAACGACCAGATGACTGCAAATAATATAAATCCTTCCATCTTCCATCATTCAATCAGAACCGAAGAAGCTTTTTGGATGAGAAACAAAATGTCTTCAAGGAAGAACAAAGTCCAGTTGCCTCTTGAAAAAAGCTCCCCATGGCCTGGATGGATGTGAACCTCCATAGATATTTAACTTGGGGACTTCAACTGCTGGAAGTCTATAAGTCTTAAAGTTGCCAAGGTTGGAGATTCTTGATGAAGAACACAAGAGCCTGGCTGGGCCTGGGGGCCGTCTGGATGCCTTTGGAGGACTCATAAGCTTGGAGTAGAGAGTGAGGAGCTCCTTTCCCCTGTGACTTTCCCTCCAGCAGTATTTTGGGCCAGTATTGGGAGAGGATTCAGAAGACAGAAGCCTACCTGCCTTGTATATGCTGCATTCAAGGGAGGCTCTTACTAACAGATATAAAGTTATGGAAACGCAACAGAGCATATCAAAAGATACCGAGACTCTAGAAAAAGTGCAGAGAAGAGCAACAACCACGATGAGGGGACTGGAGGCTAAAACATACGAGGAACAACGGTGGTTGGGATTGGGTAGGTCCAGTTTAATGAAAAGAAGGACCAGGGGATGACAGGAGAGCAGCCTTCCCGTATCTCAGGGGCTGCCCCCAAAGAAGGGGGAGTCAAGCTCTTCTCCAAAGCCCCAGAAGAGGCAGGACTGGAAGCGATGGAGGGGAACTAACCAAGGAGAGAAGCAACCGGGAACTCAGGAGGAATTTCCTGACAATGAGAACGATTGACCAGTGGAACAGCCTGCCACTGGAAGTTGTGGGTGCCCCATCAGAAGAGACTGGACACTAATTGTCCAGAATGGCTTTGGGTCTCCTGCTTCTAGGGTTGGACTAGAAGACCTCTGAGGTCTCTTCCAACTGTTGTTATTCTGTTGCCCATAACATAAATAGGAGTCCGGAGTCCACTGGAAATAGGCGGCCAATAAATTTAAATAAATAACATTAACAAGGATAACAGCGATGTAAAGTAAACAAATGATAAAGTCGCTTCAGTTACAGATAACATATGCAAATAGGAACCGAGCGTGTCCGTCTAGACACCGATGCCTTCCCGACAGACTCCGGTTTTTAATAACGTAGGAAAAGTCAATATTGTCCAGCTTGTTATCATTTCTGGGGAGGATGAGGAGGTGGGAGGTATTCCAAAGGTCTCCAACCTTGGCCCCTTTAAGCCTGGAGGACTTCAACTCCCAGAATCCCCCAGCCAGCCATGAATGATAGAGTTGGAAGAGACCAGAAGGGTCATCTAAGTCCAGTGTTTCTCAACCTTGGTGACTTTCAGACTTGTGGACTTCAACTCCCAGAATCCCCCAGCCAGCCATGAATGATAGAATTGGAAGAGACCAGAAGGGTCATCTAAATCAGGGCTCTCCAACCTTGGCTGCTTTAAGACTTGTGGACTGCAACTCCCAGAATTCCCTAGCCACATGGCCCGCAGGAACCCTCCCCGCCCACTCACTCCTTACCCGGCAAATTTGCCTGCTAAATTTCTATTTTTCCTTTTTCCGACCATCAGCTGTTCTGCTGTGCCGGGAGATTTAGATTAGCTAGGAAGCAGGAAATGGTTGGATTTCTTGCTTTCTAGCTAGTCTTTAGATCTTCGGCTCTGCTTTTAAGCACAACCGAACCTCCCTTAGGACTGAAGGTTCTGTTATTCAGTGCAGACTCACGTCAAGCAAATGTTATGTGACAGACTGAACTAGCTGATGGCAGATAGGTAGATCACTGAATGATTCTGTGAGCAACTCAATCTGCCTGCTTTGCTTGATTTTGGGTCAAAGTTGCTCTTTTTTATTAAAAAATTCAATATTTAAATACATGGTGTGTTGTGAGTTAATTTTGTGAGTTTGCTTGCTAGCAAATTTTATGAGTTTGCTTGCAAGCAAATTTTATGTGACAAATTTTATGTCTCTGAATGAATCTGTGATTCTGTGAGCAACTCAATCTGCCTGTCTGTTTTGCCTGATTTTGGGTAAAAGTTGCTCTTTTTTTTATAAAAAAAATCAATATTTATATCAATATTTATAATATTTACATGCAAGCCATGCCCAGCCAGTCACATGACCACCAAGCCATACCCACAGAACAGTTACTGGTTGACCACTAACGGTTGGCGACCGCTGTTCTGGTCCAACCACCACCTCAAGCCAGGAGGCCCTCGACCATTTCAGACAAACGTTTCAGCACCCAGAACTTCTGGTGGCAAACTGGTTATTTGTCAGAAAATTCTCCTTCATTCCCGGTTGCTTCTCTCCTTGATTAACTTGCACCCGTTGCTTCCTCTCCTGCCTTCTGGGGCTTTGGAGAAGAGATTGACCCCCGCTTCTCCCCTGGGGCTCCCCTCAAATGCTGGAAGGCTGCTCTCCTGTCGCCCCTGGCCCTTCTTCTCCTTAAACGAGACCCACCCAGTTCCTGCAGCTGTTCTTCGTATGTTTTGATGGTCACTTGCACAAATAACACTTTGCTGCCTTGTGCAAAGTCGGCATGGAGACACGCTGCCCGTTATGCCCGCCGTTGGGGAGAGTCGTATGAGCCGGCTGGGAAAAATAACTGCCAAGCAGGACCTTCCGTGTTTGATTTGTGGTTGTGCCCGCCGTTGGGTCTCTTTCCTTCCCGCAGAGCCGTTTAGCCAGTCGGGGCACATGAGGCCTTCCAAGGAAGCGGCCTTCCTTTGTGCCCCTCCCTGATAACGCCTGGCTCTGCTCCAGCCGTTTCTGACGTTGGCATGGTGCACGCCGGGCGAGGCTGGCAGGTTCCCTGCAGGAGACACGGAGGCAGCCTTGTGCCTGCCTTGGCTGGGCTCAGCCCATCCGCCTTTTCCCACCCGGCCTCTTCCGTCCCCCCTCCCAGCCCAGCCCTCCGGCAGAATGCATTGGGCAATTCAGAGGGAGCGGAGGGGCCCTCTGAGGCTGCCTGTGGGTATTTATGGGCACGCAGTACGACGGATTTGCCCGTTGGCTTCATTGGGACGTTGATCCTTCTTCCTTCTTTCTCTGCTTCCCCTCCAGTGGTGCCTTTTGGGTTTCAACTTGGCGTCTCTAAGATCCTGGAATCCTAAGGCTGGGAGGGAGCTTGAAGGTCCTCTAGCCAACCCCCTGGGTCAAGCCAGGAGACCTTATTCCATCCCAGCCCAATGGCGGCCCGGTGTCTGTTTAAAAACTTCTCGTGTTGTGGAGAGGCAAGAAGCTCCTCCGATTAATGGTCCTCACGGCCAGGACTGCTTCGTTCCAGGTGGCTTCCCCGTGAGCGTCCACCCTTTGCTTCCCGTCCTGCCTTTGGGGGCTTTGGAAAATAGGGGGACCCCCCCTCCTCCTCCTCTTTGGGGCAGCCCCTCAAATGCTGGAAGACTGCTGTCGTGTCCCCTCTGGTCCTCCTCTTCCTCAGACCTCCCAGTTCTTGGTGGGGTTTGCCCTCCAGGCCAGAGTTCCCCAAAGTTTCCAGCTTGGCAGAGTGGGTGGGGGGTGTGGCTAGGCGTGTGTGTGTGTGTGTGTGTGTGTGTGTACAGCTGTATTTGTGTCAGGGATGTGCACGTGCGCCTGCAGCTCCCTTAAGTGGCCTAGGCGCGTGCTCACCGACGGCTCACGCAAGGGAGGGTGTGTGTGCATGTGCACGCTTGCAAACCCCTCATGGTGACAAACAAGTAACAACCAGGAGCAGAAAAGGTTGTAAACTGGGACAAACCTCACCGAACAACTTAGCAACATAAACTTGGGGCTCCGTTGTGGTTGTAAGTGGAGGACCAGCGGCGTGGGGCAAAGCCAAGCATGGCGTGCCCTGCAGGCTGCAAAAGTGACGGCGGGAGGATGGTCCTGTCAGGCCTGCCACTTTCCGTTTGGTCCTCCGGCGCCCCCCCAGGGCATTCAGTGGCGGGCGTGGGGGAGGCTCATCCGCCTGCAGCTGCCCCAGCCACGCTTCCTCCCGCTGCTGCTCCTCCAAGTGTGCCCAGGGTGACTCAGCCGGCTGAGCCGCTCTTCCGCTGGCACCTGCACGCTGGGCGGGAGGTGGGCGGCGTTCACAGCCTCTGACTCACCGGGCACTTTTGGCTTTGCACACCCGGCTGGCTGGCGGAGCTCGGGTGGCTCTCCGTGAGGCGGAGCTGTGGGGTGCGGGGGCCTTCCAGGGTGAAGCCCTGCCGGCCGGCAGTGGGCACTTTGGAGTTGGGGGGGGGGGGGAGAAAATGTGGATCTGAACCCCGAGAGGGGGGGGGGCCTGGCTGGGCTGCTTGGACTCCCTCCAGGAGCCGCTGGGCTAGAAAGGGAAGCTTTGAGTCAGGGGCCTCCAACCTGGGCCGCTTTGAGACTTGTGGACTTCAACTCCCAGAATTCCCCAGCCAGCCAGGAATGATAGAGTTGGAAGAGAGCAGAAGGGCCATCTAAGTCAGGGGCCTCCAACCTGGGCCACTTTAAGACTTGTGGACTTCAACCCCCAGCAAAGCTGGCTGAGGAATTCTGGGAGTTGAAGTCCACAAGTCTTAAAGTGGCCCAGGTTGGAGACCTCTGCTTTAAGTGCAGGAAGTCCTTGACTTACGACCACAACGGAGCCCAAAGTTTCCGTTGTCAAGTGGGACATTGGTTAAGTGAGTTTTGCCCCATTTTAGGACTTTTCTGGGCCACAGTTGTTAAGCGGATCACTGCAATTGATAAGTTAATACGTTACAAAGGCACCGAAAAAGTGACTTATGACCATTTTCCACACTTACGACTGTTGTAGCCTCCCCTTGGTGAACTGCAGTGACTCCCTTAACGACCGTGGCAAGGGAGGTTGCAGAAGGGGCCCAAACTCCCTGAACAACCATTTCACTTAGCAACATAAATTCCGGGCTCCATTGTGGCCGTAACCCGAGGACCACCTGTGTCAATAAGATGCTATTGAGGATACGAATCCTCCCCTCTAGGCCTGGGGGTCCCCTCCCCCCTCCCGGGTGTTCCTAACTCTCCCCCCACTCCTCCCCCTCGCAGAGTTCTGCCGCATCGACCGGCCCCTGTGCCAGCAGGAGGAGGAGCAGCTCAGCTTCGAAGCCGTGCGCAACATCCACAAGCAGATGGACGACGACGCGAACGGCAACGTGGACGTGGAGGAGAGCGATGAGGTGAGGGTCCCTCCCCCTGGGGCTGCCTCCCCTTCCCCGCCCCCTTTCAGGTGGTCCGGGGTAGAAGGGGGCCTGTGCTCCGCGGAAGCTGGCAAGGGACTATCAGGCAGAGGCCTCGCAGCCTCGATGGACGCTTCAGTGCCACCCACCCACCCACCCCATCCTCCTCATCCTCAGTCCCCCACACCGCTCCAACCCATGGCTGCTCCCTTTCCTCCTCCCCAGTCCCATCAGCCACCGGCAGCATCCGCAGAAGGGAAGAGGACGGACCTCACTGGCTCCAGGGCAGCCTGAGTCCTCCAGAACAGGACAGCGGGGAGCAGAGAATCGAGGGGAGGGTAGAATAGGAATAGAATAGAGGGAATAGAATGGAATGTAGAATAGGAATAGAATATAGAATAGAATAGAATAGAATATAGAATAGAATAGAGAATAGAATAGAGAATAGAATATAGAATATAGAATAGAATAGAATAGAATAGAATAGAATAGAATATAGAATTAGGGAATAGAATAGAATAATATAGAATAGAATGGAATACACAAGAATAGAATATAGAATAGAATATAGAATAGGATAGAATAGGATAGAATAGGATAGGATAGGATAGAATAGAATAGAATAGAATAGAATAGAATAGAATAGAATAGAATAGAATAGAATAGAATTCTTTATTGGCCAAGTGTGATTGGACACACAAGGAATTTGTCTTGGTGCAAATGCTCTCAGTGTGCATAAAAGAAAAGGTACGTTCGTCAAGAATCATCAGGTACAACACTTAGTGATAGTCAGTAGAATAGAAGAGAATTGGAGAGAATAGAACAGAGCAGAACAGAGCAGAATAGATTAGAATAGAATAGAATATAGAATAGAATATAGAATAGAATGGAATGGAAGTGAGAATTAGGAATAGAGAATAGAATAAAAATAGAATTGAATTGAAATGAAATAAGAATTAGGAATATAGAATAGAATAGAAAAGAAATAGAAATAGAAATAAGAATTAGGAATAGAATAGAATAGAATAGAATATAGAATTAGGGAATAGAATAGAATAATATAGAATAGAATGGAATACAAAGAATAGAATAGAATAGAATAGAATAGAATAGAATAGAATAGAATAGAATAGAATAGAATAGAATAGAATA